CCCCCCCGCCGCACAACAAGTGAATACAGAAAACCTTCACTGGACAGTAGAGAAAGTGTCTTGGTCTCCGTAGGCCTCTTTCTGTCCGACGTCTCCGGTCTTCAAAAGCCACTCGACACCAGGCGGACGGCAGCTCCGACACACGGACGGTGGACACACACTTCCTGTCCAGCATCCTGCTGAATACGTCCAAACTTTGTCCTCACATCAGAGGAAGGTTCTCCACTGACCTGGAGGCTGAGTGGGTGTGTGTGGGAGGGGCTAAGCTTCCTCACCAATCCGTCCCTATTAGGAGACGTCCAACCCGTCCCTGTTAGGAGACGTGAAACTTGTCCTCTGTGTTTGGAGACTGAGGCCTCCTCAATGGCTCCCCGAGGCAGGAAGATGTCACGTAGCAGAGGAAAGGAAAACGGAGCCGACCTCTGCGAGGAAGTCTCTGAGCGGTGGGTTTTGGGTCATCGCCCGTCTTGACATCATCCGGCGCTGGGACCCAGATGTGCAGCTCTGGTGCTGAAGCAGACCCAACAGTGAGTCTTCAACCACTTCAGATATTTTATTCCTGTTTTTAACAGCTTGACTGGGAAGAAAAAGATCATGTCAGACTGTAGAAGAGAAGGAAGACCAGAACGTGAGCAGATGTTTAACGTCCAGCAGAACATCTGGAGACCTCTGAGCAGGTTTACCTCATCGCTCTGCTCTCCCTCCTCTTCCTCTCATGACTCTTTTATCACAGAGCAGGTTTTAACAGGAAGACTTTGTGTCGAGAGAAAATGAAGCTCAGTTTTGTGACCTCAGATGAAAAATAACTCGTAAAGAAACAAAACAATGAGAAGAAAACATCTGCCTGCTCCTCATTATCTTTATGGACATTCTTCTTGAACGTATTACTATTTGCTTCCATTATTCACATTATAACGTTTAAACTGGAGACAGAGTTAACTCTATGGTTGGTAGTTAAAAATATACTAACAACAAACTTTGAACTTTATTAAAACTTTGAATTAATCTGAAACAAATTAATAAATGAGATTGGAGTGTGTGGAGCATCGTGTTAAACACCCAGTCATGGGACAAAGACATCTCACCCTCCTTCAGTTTTTATGTATCAAACGGTGATAATAATAAACTCTAAAGAGTTATTCAAGTGTTTAAAACACAGCAGAGTCCACCATGACAATATTTATGTAACAAACAGGAAGCAGATATTTAAAAGCTGTGAGTGATAAGATAAATATACTCAAAGAAGTTCAGTATCAGCTGATTAAATGTATTGATTAACTGATCATTATTAGTGTGGCCACCTCTGTACAGGCAGGAGTTTGCTGCTCCGTGCACAGATGTGTGTTAACACAATGACAAGATGGAAAGACATCAGCAATGACCTAAAGAAACAACATCTGCTGCCCATCAATCTGAGAATTTGGATTCAGTCCTGTTGTAGTTAGAAAACAAAACATTTGCATGATCACCCCAAGGTCAGACTGTGCAATGCTCAAACACTTTTTTTTAAAACAAAATAGCTCCACTTCAGTTTTGACAGTCTTAAGTAGGTTTAAGGTTAAGTTTGGCGACAGAACAGTTAGAAAATGGACAAATGCGTTTTTGAAAGGCTTTCCTGAGAAAATCTCATCTTTTAAAACTTTTTCTGATCAACTTAGCTTTGCAAAGTTGATCAGAATAAAACACAAAACATTTTAAACAACGCTGATTAGGGCAGGTCCCTGGACTTGCGACCTGTCCAGGGTGTACCCCGCCCCTCGCACAGTGATCGCTGGACATGGGCACCGGCGACCTCCGTGACCCAAAATGGAAGAAGCAGGTAAAAGATAATGGATGGGTGATTAGGGCAGGCACAGCACAGTGGCGCAACTGGTACAGCTGCTGCCTCTCAGCGAGCAGGTTACTCTGTTCAAATCCCAGTCTGGAGACGTTTCTGGGTGGATTTACATGTTTTCGCCGTGCATGCGTGGGTTTTCGCCAGGTACTCCAGTTTCCTCCCACAGACCAAAAACATGCATGTTAGACTGATTGGTAACTCTACATTGTAAACGGTCCCACCCAAGAGCGCGGACATACACTGGACCTTGTTTTAACTCGTGATGTGACTGTTAGTAATCTTGAAATTGGTGATAATGTTTTTTCAGAACACATGCCAGTCCAGTTTGAGTTCACCCTCCCCCATCAAACTCCTAAGCCGTGCATTCCTGCACGTAGGACTCTGACCATTAACCACTTCACTGCCACACATTTCACAGATGCTTATAACTCTGAAATGATCATTCAGCCCCTGGTGTTTCTCACCACCACGGAGGCGCTGACATCCCAGTTCAACTCTGTCTGCTTAAAGACTCTGGATCATGTCACTCCTGCTAAAACTAGTAAATCAAAACTCAGAGCAGAACCTTGGCTGAGTGACGTCACCAAGACCGTTAGGCAGCAATGTAGGAGGGAGGAGCGCAAATGGAGGAAAGACAGGCTGCAGGTCTCTTTTCAAATACTTAAAGAGAGTTGGCACCGTTATCAGAAAGCAATGAAAGCTGCTAAATCCAAATACTTCTCTGATATCATAACCTCAAACTCTCACAACCCACGTGTCCTCTTCTCCACCCTAAACTCTGTTCTCCACCTCACAGAACCATCACCTCTGGAAGCCTCGACTGAGCTGTGTGACAACTTCTTACATTTCTTTTTGGAAAAAATTGCGACCACCCGGGCTCTCATTTCCCCTCCAACTAATGACTCATCCATCCCACCTCAATCTGTAGCTCTATTTGACCATTTTGAACCCATCACTCTATCTTCTCTAGAGCAGGTCATGTGCAGCTTGAAACCTTCTGGTTCCCCCTTTGATGTGGTCCCCTCGACTACTAAAGGAGGTTTTTCATACTCTAGGTCCGTCCATTCTTGATATAGTAAACAGTAGTTTATCCACTGGCGTAGTGCCAAAATCCTTTAAACATGCTGCTGTCCAGCCTCACCTGAAAAAAACAAATCTTGACCCCTCAGTCGTGTCCAACTTCTGGCCTGTCTCCAAACTCCCATTTGTTTCTAAAATACTGGAGAAAACAGTTGAGTCCCAGTTGAAGTGCTTCCTGGAGGGTCACGCCATCTTCGAGCTATTCCAATCTGGCTTTAAACCTCTCCACAGCACTGAAACTGCCCTATTGAAGGTTTTTAATGACATCTTCATATCCACAGATACCGGTGATTCTGTGCTGCTTGTCCTGTTGGACCTCACAGCCGCCTTTGACACCATCGACCATGCGATCCTCATTGCTAGGTTGGAGCAGTGGGTGGGCGTCTCAGGGTCAGCCCTGAATTGGTTCAGATCCTACCTCATTGACAGATCCTTTTGTGTCTCCATCAAGGATTTTAGTTCCGCAGAGGCAGAGCTTAAATGGTGGGTTTCGCAGGGGTCCATCCTGGGTCCCCTCCTATTCTCTTTATACCTGCTGCCGCTTGGTGCTATTTTCCGGAAACACAACATGCCCTTCCACTTCTATGCCGATGACTGTCAAATTTACTTCCCCCTAAGACACAATGGTACATGCTCTATTCAACCGCTGCTCGACTGCCTGGCTGAAATCAGGGGGACTGGATGGCTTTAAACTTCTTAAGTTACAATGAAAAGAAGTCTGAAGTCATGTTGTTCCCTCCCAACGACTCGATCACAAACCACTGCTTCGACCTCTCTGCTATAACCCTGTCAGAAAAAACAAAGAGTCACTAATCTGGGAGTGATAATGGACCCTTCCCTGAAACTTAACATTCATGTAAACATGATTGTTAAATCATGTTTCTTCCAACTGAGGTAGCTGTCTAAAATGAAGCCCATATTGTCCAAAAAGAACCTGGAGACAGTAATACATGCATCCATTACATCTAGGCTTGATTACTGCAATTCGCTCCTGTTTGGTATCAGTCAGACCTCCATTGCACGACTACAACTGGTCCAGAATGCAACAGCCCAATTTTTAACCAGTACAGGTAACAGAGAGCACATTACACCAGTTTTGGCCTCACTGCACTGGTTACCGGTTCACTTTCAAATCCAGTTCAAAATACTGATGTATGTTTACAAATCACTGAACAGTCCCC